CACCTTCTGGATCCTGATCCCCTGTCCTAGATATTTCTTTGTAAATGGACTCTGCTTTCCTGTTGATGGTGGCAATTGATGAGCATGAGGGCTGAGGTACTACACCATATTTCACCTTCTACCCAGGGTTATTGTGAAGATCAAAGACCTTAGAGCACTATATAAGTGCAAATTATAATAATAATAATTATTATTATTATTGTGTCTAACTCAGTACATGCCGTTCCATATAAACCAGCAGAGAGGTCTGAAAAGCATAACAGATCTTTTTTGCTTAAGAAAAAACCTAGGAGCTGCCAGGTGGTGCAGTAGACAGAACATCGACCCCAAAGTCAGGAGGACCTGAGTTCAAATCCAGTCTCAGACACCTGACACTTACTATCTGTGTGACCCTGGGCAAGTCACTTAACCCCATTGCCTAGAAACAAACAAACAAAAAACACCCCATGATGTCCTTTGGCCTGAATTGCACAACTAAGGAAATCAATACCAATCAACTTTCTTTACCATTACTCTGCTGTCAATTGTTACTATCTCAGAGTAAGGATTAGACAAGCTTCTCAAAATAGACTGGTTAAACCCTCAGGATGCCAGGCTACTAGACAGTTTCCTCATTCTACTGCATTCCTTTTGCTCCTAGAAAATGCTAAGATCATAGGTGTAGAGCTGGAATGTACCTTAGAAACCATCTAGTATAACCTCATTTTACAAACATGGAAACTGAGGCCTAGGGAGATAATGTGACTTACCCAAGGTCAAGAATTGGTTAGTTCCTCTTGTAAGTCTCTAGGCACACACAGTCTCTTACTGGAGGAGAAGTTCTAGCCTATCCAAGGTGGTTTAAACAGCCTATCTGAATGGAAATTAATTTTAATGTCAAATGTGGAATTTTCTATAACTTGACTTTTTAAAAAATGTACTGATGGTCCATGACAGAGTCTCTATCAGAGAAAACCTGTGGAGGAATGTCCTCTGTGGATCTGATGTTCTACCCAATAAGCTTCATGATAATCCTGTTTTAATAAAATCCACTTAAGGTTGGGATACACACAAATGAAGTGTTTCTATGTCTGAGGAGCAGGTTATCAGTGATTCATTAAACTGATAATGAGAATATGATGTTTGCCAAATTTATTCTTTTGTGAGGACATGGATGAATGGTACCATTCAAATTGAAATAGAGGGAAACCTCTTATTATATGATAACAATGGAGATTTTCCCATGATTTACACCTTTTAAAAAACCCATTAAATTTCCCATGTTGTTAATGGCCAGAGTTTCCTCACTTTGGGCTGCTTTCCCTACAACCCACCCTCATTTCTCAGAAATACTTAGCACATGTCCCCATTGCTTACTGTGAAACTATATTCAAGAGGCAGAAAGAAGTCCCTTTAAAAAAACAAACAAACAAGAAAACCCAACTACCACCAACTAATGAATCGTTAGCACCCTCTTTACTCAGTCAGTCAGTCTGCAAGCATTTATTAAGTGATTATGATTACTATATGTCAGGTACTGTGCTTTAAATATGCGTTATCCTCCTCCTCCAACAAACACACATACATACAAACCCACATTCACACAGAGCAATTCCACAGGGGTTCCTATATAAGGTATTACTGTGGGCTTATCATGTTTAGAGATGTTTTCAAGACTGATGATTAAATGAAGAGGGAACTGTAATAAAATGCCTTTTGAAAAAAGTCTTGCTTACCTGGGTTGAGGAAAGCCTGTGCTTTCAATACTACTCTTGACACTGAAATATAATGAGCAATATACTAGTCAATTTATTAATTGTTTGCTACTTAGACTATGTGCCCTCAGTTCCCAGAGAAAGCTAACAAATGGGTTGACTATATATTCATAGGTTGATCAAAGTTAAGGGCATAATCTGTGGCCAGGGAAATGAGGCTGGCTGAGCAAGCCCTTTAGCAAACTGAAGCTATGACACTAGCCTCCGAAATACAACCAACTGCACCACAACCATTCCATTCATGCATGAGCTGAAAAAGCCTGAGAGAGTGTGGTTAGATCAATGCTAACCTATCTTCAATTCTGGGAAAATAACTCAAAGCTGGTGTCGCAGTGATGATGTACACGGGGTGGCAGGGTGTGGGCGTTGGGAAGATGGAAAAGGGAGGATCAGTAGCTTTGGATTCACAGGCTAAGCATTGTGTTTGTTAAAGTTTGTGCCTTGTGGTACAATGCAAAGAACCCTGACTCCAGAGACAGAGGACCTGGATTCAAATTTCTCCTATGCCACTTCCAGACTATTTGACCTTGGGCAAATCACTTAATTCCTCCAGGCCTCAGTTTCCTCCTCTGTAAAAGGATTGGATGGCCTCTGAGGTCTTCTAGGCTTAAATCTATGAACCTCTGATTTTTCTGTAAGTGAACGGTTGAGAAAGAAATAAAACAGTTGAACTGATGAGACCAGGGGAAGTTTGGATCCCTCTATGTTCACATCTAAAATCTCTTGTTCTGGGAAGCTCCTATCTTAGCTGGCTATAGTATGCTGATCACCATCTCCTGAGAGATTTAGCAAGGTTACTCAAATGAAATGTACAAATCAGATGTTCTTCATCTGGGGTTGTGAACTTGTTTTCTTTTAATACTTTGATAAACTATTTCAATATAATTGATTCACTCTGTAATCTTACGTATTTTATTTTATGCATTTAAGCATATTATTTTGAGATCCATAGACTTCACTAGGCTATCAAAGGGATCCATGACACAAGGAACATTGAGAAGCTTCATTATAAATCAAAAAGGAATGTTAGCACTTGGACAAAGCTTTTAAAAAACAAGATAAAGCCGAAAGGAACTCAAGCTGGGAAAATTTAAGAATCCAAATGAAAAAAGAGATGATGGACCATGTTGCTAGTCAGAGCCAGGGAAAGGTTGGGGCATGAAATGGGGGTAGGGGAAGGGTAGACTATCTGAGCCTTCCAATTCTAAATCCCCAAGGCCTGATTATCACCACCATGAAGGGTGGACTCCCATTCTTGCTATTGAGGGTGATGTCTACACTGACCAATAAACATTGTTCTGTCTAGAAGGATGATTTTTCAACTATAAGAATCAAAAGAGTTAGAGCTGGGAAGGGGTTTTATAGAGCATGTAGTCCAAATTCCTCATTTTACAATGGAGAATACTTTGGACCAAACAAATGGACATATTTTCTCACACAGTTCATGAGGGGCAACATGGCATAGTTCATAGACAACTGACCTCAAAACCAGGAAGATCCAGGTTCAAGTCCTACCTTTGACACATACTGGCTTTGTGACTCTGAGCAAGTCACTTAATCTCTCAAGTGTGTTAGGTAACCCTCCAAGACCTATTATTTGCAGAGAAGGTGCCAATCTGCTCTGGTAGGGGGAATTTCCTCACTTGGGAGTTCTGTACACCAAGGAAATCATAAGTTCAATTTTGTCCCTATTCCTATTACACAAGTTATAAAGTGTCAGAGCCAGGATTCAAACTGAGGTCCTTCACTTTCAGATCCAGAACACTTTCCCTTATATCCTGAGGCCTCCCTACCTTTTGCAGAGTGGCTGCCCAGGATTTGGGAAACTCAGTGGAAATACAGGAGTTCCTCCTAGCATTGCCTCTGCATAGAGAAACTATATTTCCACGGTTGGCACTAGAATAGCAGCTATATGTGGTGGGATCCTCACCAGTGTCTAGATGAGATTCCTGCCCTATTTCTGGAGGATGAAGAAGGACACTCTTCCAAACTGTAGAACAGAACAGTGGTGCTATTCTGCCCTGGAATAATAAGGCTTCTTGGCTGGGGAGCTCATTAAATAGCTACATTCACATGGAGGCTTATAAGACTAGAATGGCCAATATTATTAGTCACGAAGACTAATTTTGCACAGAAGTGCAAAAGAGAGAAGTACCTGACATCCAGGTAGTGTCATGTGACAGGCAACCTGGGATCCCAGGGTCTGATTTAGAAGGCTGATGCATATATTGAAAGGATTCTTTACCTTCTCTAGAAAACAACTGCTATCCATTATTATTATTGTTATTATTATTAGCAATTATACTGTTGATGGCTGGGAAAATCGAGAGTGTATTCCAAGCTTTGTGCTACAGTCCTGGACCTGGACAATAGGCAACTACTGTATCTGCTTCTAAATCTGGAGGCTGGGAGCAATACCGAGACTTTCTACCTCCATCTCACTCACCCACTCACAAATCATACAATTCAGTTGAACTGACTGAACTCTCTTGCTAATTGCCTCTTATTGGTTTGGCTAAAAAGATGAAGCATGGGAATATAGACAAAGCATTGCCATTCCCATGCTTGGAGGGTGGGGAGTGTGCGAGGCAGGAGCCTTCATGAATGCATAGAAACTGGGGCCTTGCTATTCACTTCAGAAAGCCAGGATAAGATCTCATAATTTTCAGAAATATGCATCCTTCTAACAACATTGCATCCCAAGAAACCCTGTTAGTTATTGGGAGACCACAATTTCTGAAGTGATTTCTTGATAGGAATTCTGTTTTTCAAATCCACATTTCATTTAAAAAGAAACAAAAGAAATATGAAAAAAAAATTGACCATCTGGGAGTGCAGAAATTTTCTCCAAAGTGATGCAAACTCTCAATTTTTTTTTTTTGGTGGTGTGTGTTGGGGGTGGGGGCTGGGGAGGAGCTCTTTTCATGATCACATCGGTTCTTGTATTTTCCCTTTTAAGAAAAGCAGGGACTGCCTGCAGCCTGATGACTATGAACTTTCTGTCTGGACTCCCCCCTCTCTGGCCTGCCTTTGCAAGCCTTCAATAATTACCCCTCTAGCACACACCATAGTCAGAGGGTTTCGCTTTCTCACTGACTTGTACACAGTTCTAGGGAGGGCTGTTGCCAAAGCTATCATGTGATTTATTGGCCCTCCACTGGGACAAGGGGGGAACAGATATCACTTTGTGATTCGATTCGAAGGGGGCTGGGTTACTATTTCTAGGTGGAATAAGCTAGTATGTACCAAGTTCAAACATTTGAAGAGGGAGGTTAAGAAATCCTGAGTGTGGGGTGTAAGGATTATTCTGTCCTGGGGCCGTACAGACGTCGTCTGAGGCAGGGAGCAGGAGAAGAAAGGAGACATTGTGACCCATTTCCAACACCTCCTGTGTGTAGAGACGGAAGTGCCTGGCCTGTAGAGGGACACGCGCAGAGAAAAAATAGGAGAGTTACAACATGGCACTTACATAAACAACACCAACCCAGCATAAAACATCTAACAAAATTACATGACTTCAAGCTTGGAATTTTTATACAACATAAATATTAGGGTTCAGCCCATTTAATAATGCTATATAAAATCAAGATTTAAGGCAGTAATGTTCCACATAAACGCCGAAAACAACATTTATGCTTGTTATAAAAAAGCAGAAAATGATTGAATTCTGTGGGGTTTTTGAAATGATGAATATAATTATGTGGAACAGCAAAAATGGATTGAATTAAAAATCCGCTACTTTCAATTTAGGTTGGTTAGGGGGGGAAAATGCAGTTTCTGGCCAAAGTCTGAGAAAATTTTACTAGCATCAAAAAAAAAAATTGTTGCATGCAGTTAGGCAGCCTTCTCCCAACATGTATATACAGCCCAAGAGAGTCACCAATGAAATGTGAGCCTCTTCAAACCTGCTAAGCCAAAGAAATCCTTTAATAGAATTGACTATCTTAAGGAGAACCAGTTCTTCATTCCAAGAGTGGCTCCAACTGGAATAATATAGCTGTCTTCTTAACGACTCTGCTGTCAGCCATCTATCCATTCTGCAAGTATTTCAACTCAACATACATTTATTATGTACACACAATGAGTAAGGCACTGTGTGTGAGCATGTCAGGCTCTGATTATGGACTTCATACTGGTGACAGTACTATGTTGACCTTGCAGTTCCAACTTAAAATTGGATTATGGCAGAGATAGAAGGGCTCTTTTGAAATTAACCAGTTCATCCCATTGCTTCAAGGTGGGTCAGTCCCAACAGGTGTTTGATTATGTTGTGCTTTTTAAAGGTAGCTTTTAAAAGATAAGGGCATGTCCACATACTTTTCCCACTACTGGCAAGGTCTTTGTGCCTCTAGACTAAATCCTTTTGATTTGTCTTTAGGGAAGATAGAAAACATTTCATGGGGAAAACCAAGTCAACTTAATCTTTAAAACATTAATTGAGAAGATTGAATATGAGAACTTATAGAACTTCTACATTTTGATCAGGACCAGAAAACTCTCTGACAACAAGTACTCTATCTGAGGTAAGAGCCCATGGCATATCATTTCAAATAAGACCACCTTTTAAAAAAGCTATAACTAAGGTGAGGTGATTAGGGCTTCATTCCAGGGTATCAAATATAGAGAACATTGAATTTAGAGGGTACCATAGCATTTAAACATTTTTTCAGCATAGAAATATACTACTTAGTGCCTAGTTGGCAGCAATAATTAATTAAAATAGGAAGCTAAGTAAAGATGGTGAGGTGGGGGCAAGTTACTTTTATGACTCCCTCCCCTGCCCCCAACTTCCTACAATCCCACTTCTGGGGGTATATCTTATACTGCTTGTCCTATGTCTAGTTTGTGGTATGTGACTCTGGTGCAAATATTTCTTGGTATGACTCTGTTTTTGATTATGTGTAGTATATATGTATGTGTACATGCATGTGTATGTGTGTATTCTATTAACCAATGCATCTGATTCCCAAAACAAGCTCTTGGTTTTTCTATGCTGTTGAGGCTAAGTGTACTTGGACAGAACCCAGACAACTTTTTTGGGGGGTTTTGTTTTTTTAGGTTGGGCTGCTCCCAGTAGGGACTGGATGACCTTGGGGGAGGGGAGAGAGAGTTGTAGCATAAGAGTTAATGAGGGGGGGAAAGGAACAGAATACAGAGGCATTTATTCATTTAGACATGGCATTAACAACATGTAAATGCTATTCAAGACAGCACACAAACACCTATTACTTTTTTTCTCACTGCCTGAATATTTTTTTGTGCAAAGAAGATCAATACTGTAAAGTAGAATACCTGGTGTAGAGGTAGATTGATCTGTTTCAGGAGAGCCTTCACTGCTATCTGGAGCTCATAGGAGAACAACTGAGTGGGGCAGTCAGAAGTATGAGCTATACTTTCCATAGATTCAGGGACAGAAAGCTTCTGGATCCATTCCCACTCATCTCTGTATGGTGAGTCAAGTTAAAATTAGAAATAAAACAAAAGTTGAGTACACAGCTGAGAACTCACAGTAATACATGTGCAGAACCTGGAATAACCCATTTGTGGTGGTGAAAACTTATCTGTGAAGGTGTAACTTGAGCTGTTTACCACCCAAAGACAACTCCAAACTAGATCTCCCTCAGGAAGGCTGCCTTCACTACCAAACCCAATGTGAGTAGGAGGGGGCAGGTTTTGTTTATATGTGTGAACATTTCCAGGTCTTAGCTTTGAAATTTTTCAGAATTATCCTCTTGACCATCTCTCTTTACTTGCAGATCTTCCCAGAGCTCTCAAACTCCACCTTTGACTTCAGGGCATTTGGTGTTAGTTCAATGATTAGGAAACTACAGGGAACTCTGGTGCCAGCTGAGGCAAATTCAATTCTAGGCCCGTTGGAACTATGGAGGCTATTCTGGTTTCCTTTCTCTTCCAGATGCTTAAAGGAGGGAAAGGAGGAATCACAAACAGGCAATTTCATGAAGAAAACAGCCACCCAATTAGCCTTGGTTCTAACCAATCCTTACAAATTGCCCACTTGACAATTTCATAGGGGAAGCCCTCTATGATCTGAGGCAGAGTGAAGTGAGCAGAACCAGGACAATAATTTACACAATGACAATATTATAGAGAAGAACAACCTTGAAAGACTTTACTCTGATGATTGCAATTATAAAACAGAGTGCAGAGGACTGAGGGTAAATCATGCCATGCATTTCCTGTCAGAGAGGTGATGTACTTAAAATACAGAATAAGACATATACTTTTGGACATGGTGAATGTGCAAATTTATTTTGATGTACTATGTGTGGTGCCGGGGATAGAGTGCTGGGTCTGAAGTCAGGAAGACTCATCTTCTTGGGCTCAAATCTGGCCTCAGACACTTACTAGTTGTGTGATCCTGGGCAAGTCACTTAACCTTATTTGCCTCAGTTTCCTTATCTGTAAAATGAGCTGGAGAAGGAAATGGCAAACCACTCCAATATCTCTGTCAAGAAAACCCCAAAGGGGGTCATAAAAAGTTGGACATGAATGAAACAACTCAATAGCAACATTAGCAAATGTGTGTTTGCTTTGTAGAATTTTTTTTTAAAAAGGAGAGTTAATAAATATTTGAAAAAATAAAGAAAAATTAAAAACAGGGGCGGAGCCAAGATGGCAGAGTGAAAGCAGTGACTTGCTTGAGATCTCCCCCAAACTCCTCCAAATACCCATAAAAAATGACTAAACAAATTCTAAAGCTGCAAAACCCACAAAAAGACAGAGTGAAGCAAATTTCCAGCCCAAGACAACCTGGATGGTTGACCAGAAAGGTATATCATATATGGTGGGTAGAGGAGCACAGTGTGGTGTGGGTGCATAGGCCACAGTGAACCTGGATCAGGCCTCAGAGGACTGAATTGTGAGGAGCTGTGGTGTTTTCCAGACCTCTCAACTCACAAACACCAAAGACAACTTAGAAGGTCAGTTTCTGTGGTTAGAGAGGAGCTAGGTCAAAGCCAGCTCCAGAGCGCAAAGAGTGGGCGCCAGGGCAGTGGCTGCGTCCTGAGCTTCCAGCCCACAGACTGAGGGGGAATCAAGTGGCTGATCAGAGGGGGATTTCAGGGATCTCTTTGCCAGTGCTGAGGCAGGAATCTCTTGCTTTGCCCATGCTTGGATCTGGGTCACAGTTCTGGGTGGTGGTCCTGGGGCGAGGAGGAATGCTGGTGTGGTGGAGCTTGTAGTGGCATGGAGAGGAAACCTTCACAGTTCCAGGACAGAAAGGAGTGCTTGTGGTCACTAACAGACCAGAACACAGGCCAGGAAAGGAGCAAACACCTCACCCCTCATCATATCATACCATCTTCCAAGAACTGAAAATTTACAGGTCCCTACAAGTATCTCTGAAAATAGCTGCATAAACCCCGAAGCTTGGGACAGTACATTCTCCACGTTGGAAGCAGTCTCTTACCTTAACAAAGAGTTTAAAACTCAAGTAATTGGCTGGGATCATGAGCAAACCTTGCAAGAAGGGTCAGACTATATTATCTTACTTTGGTGACAAAGAAGATCAAAACATACAACCAGAAGAAGACAACAAAGTCAAAGCTCCTACATTCAAAGCCTCCAAGAAAAATATGAATCAGTCCCAGGCCTTGGAAGAGCTCAAAAGGGATTTTGAGAAGCAAATAAGAGAAGTAGAAGAAACACTGGGAAGAGAAATGAGAGTGATGCAAGAAAATCATGAAAAACAAGTCAACAGCTTGCTAAAGGAGACCCAAAAAAATACTGAAGAAAATAACACCTTAAAAAATAGCCTAACCCAAATGGCAAAAGAGGTCCAAAAAGCCAATGAGGAGAAGAATGCCCTAAAAAGAAAAATTGGCCAAATGGAAAAGGAAGTCCAAAAGATTACTGAAGAAAATACTTCCTTAAAAATTAGAATAGAGCAATTGGAAGCTAGTGACTTTATGAGAAATCAAGACACTGTAAAACAAATCCAAAAGAATGAAAAATAGAAAACAATGTGAAATATCTCATTGGAAAAACAACTGACCTGGAAAATAGATCCAGGAGAGAGAATTTAAAAATTATTGGACTATCTGAAAGCCATGATCAAAAAAAGAGCCTAGACATCATCTTTCAAGAAATTATCAAGGAAAACTGCCCTGATATTTTAGAACCAGAGGGCAAAATAGAAATTGAAAGAATCCACCAATCTCCTCCTGAAAGAGATCCCCAAAGGAAAACTCCTAGGAATATTGTAGCCAAATTCCAGAGTTCCCAGGTCAAGGAGAAAATATTACAAGCTGCCAGAAAGAAACAATTCAAGTATTGTGGAAACACAATCAGGATAACACAAGATTTAGCAGCTTCTACATTAAAGGACCACAGGGCATGGAATATAATATTCCAGAGGGCAAAGGAGATAGGATTAACCAAGAATCACCTACCCAGCAAAACTGAGTATAATCCTTCAGGGGAAAAAATGGTCATTCAGTGAAATAGAGGACTTTCAAGCATTCTTGATGAAAAGACCAGAGCTGAATAGAAAATTTGACTTTCAAAACAAGACTCAAGTGGAACATGAAGAGGTAAACAGGAAAGAGAAATCATAAGAGACTTATTAAGGTTGAACTGTTTACATTCCTGCATGGAAAGATGATATTTATAACTCATGAGACCTTTGTCAGTATTAGGGTAGTTGGAGGGGAAAATTATATGTATGTAGATAGATAGATAGATAGATAGATAGATAGATAGATAGATAGAGGGCACAGGGTGAGTTGAAGATTAAGGGGTCATATCTGGAGAATAAAATTAAGGGATGAGAGAGATTATACTAGGAGAAGAAGAAAGGGAGAGGTAGAAAGGGTAAATTATCTCACAAAAACAGAAAAGAAAAGGCTCTTACAGTGGAGGGGAAACGGGGAAGGTGAGAGGAATGAGTGAATCTTATTCTCATAGGATTTGGCTTAAGGAGGGAATAACATACACATTCAATTGGGTATGGAAATCTGTCTTACCCTACAGGAAAATAGGGGGAAGGGGACAAGAGAGCAGGGGATGATAGAGAGAGGGCAGATTGGGAAAGGGGTAATCAGAAGCAAATACTTCTGAGGAGGGACAGGGTCAAAAGAAAGAATAGAATAAATGGGGGGCAGGATAGGATTAAGGGAAATAGAGTTAGTTTTTCACAACATGTCTACTATGGAAGTGTTTTGCATAACTGCACATGTATAACCTCTATTGAGTTGCTTGCCTTTTCAATGAGGGTGGGTGGGGAGGGAGGAAGGAGAAAATTTGGAACCCAAAGTTTTAAAACACACGTTTTAAAAAAAAGTTTTCACATGCAACTGGGAAATATGAAATACAGGAAATGGGGTACAGAAGTCTATCCTGCCCTACAGGAAAATAGAAGGGGAAGGGGATAAGAGAAGGGGGAGAGATAGAAGAGAGGCAGACTAGGGGAAGGGTATTCAGAATGCATGCCATCTTGGGGTGGGGGAGGGGAGATGGGTGAAAATTTGGAACTCAAAATCTTGTGGAAGTAAATGTTGAAAACTAAAAATAAATAAATTTATATAAAAAAATAAACAAAAGAAAATGAAAAAAAGAAAAAAAGATAAAAACAGAGAAACAAACTGTCTATACTGTTTCTATTCCATTTGGTTTGCAGTTTCTCCCAATGAACATCTATCTACAAAGGTCACATAATAGGGAATGTTAAAGAATAGTCATGATGGTGGGGTGGGGGAGCACATCTGATTCTCATACCCTTAGGAGGCAGTGTGTGAGGAGTGTGCTAGTTTTGGAGTCAAAGCACCTAAGCTCAAATTCCAGCTTTCCCACTTACTATCTGGGTGACCATGGGCAAATAACTTAATCTCTCTGGGCATCTGGGCATCTATGAAATAAAGGAGTAGGACCAGATGATCTCTAAGATCCCTTCCAAGTCTATATGTAAGATCCTAAGCTCTGTCTTCCAAGTGTTTCTGTTCAAAGAAGCTTGGAAAGGATCACTGAAGGGGTCTTGGGGGCCACTCTATTTCTCACAGCTTCCAAACCTTCTCATTTGGCTTGTTTTCCTTTTCTAATGTTGCAGGGACTGACAAGATGCCCTTAAAATCTCCAAAGAAAAACCCTCCTCCTGCCCCTCCTGAGAAAGAAGGAAAAGAAGATAATGACAAATTTCCCTCCCATATGTAATCCCTGCATGGGCTTGTTGTGAAGGGTTACGACAGCCTGGCCACTAATCTGTGGGTTAGAGAACCAAACTGATTATGTTATAAACCAGGGGAGAGGAACCTGCATCCTTAAGGCCACATGTGGCCTTCTAGGTCCTTAAGTGCAACCTTCTGACTGAATCCAAATTTTACAGAACACATTGGAGTCAGTCAAAAGACCATACTTAAGGACCTAGGAAGCCATTTGTGGCCATAAGGCTGCAGATTCCCCACCACTAGGTAAACTTTTAATCAGAAGGCACACTTTCTTTTTACCAGTCACCTCCTTTGCAAAGTCTCTATTCTCATAATCACTGTGCTATTCTAATTTCTGTACAGGAGGATGGAAAAATGTACCCTTTGCTTCAGTGAGAAAGGAGACCCAAATGATAACGAAACTATATTTATGCACATGTCCATTTTAAGTTTATTGTGAAATGTCACAAGTGCCTTCAGCCTCTGATTACTCTCAGAAAATAAATGTTCATGATTTCTACGGGTATTGAGGGAGACTGAAAATGAGATGTATTTGATTAGCACATAGAACTATAAAACTCAAAGGTTCCAATGATCAAAATCATTTTTTGGGGACCTAAAACAGAATATAAGTTAACAGAGAGAGGGAGTATTGTATGTTGGTCCTGTCTCATATTAGCTGTATGACCACAGACAAGTCACCAAACCTATTAGCATGATGTATTACAGATGAGTTGCCAACTGGCATTGATGGGTGGAACTAGCTACACTGATACCATCATAGATGTAGACTTGTTCCCTCACCCTCCGCCCCCCCAGGATTCCTCTCCCCAAATTGGTAAAATTGTCACTAAACATCTAGTTTTCCTGGGTACATCAAGTACTCAGCTGACCATCCTTCAACCATCATTGCTGGGTGACATGGTAGAACTTTCATGACAATGATAAACATTTGTGGTTTTTGCAAACCAAACACTTGAGTAGTGGCAGGGGGAAATGTGCTAGGATTAACATTGGAAGAATGAATACAAATCAAAATGGTGCTCCTTTTATGCCCTTGTAGGGATGGGCATGGGGTAAGGAGGAGTGGGTGGAGGACTGAACCTGTGATTTATTGGCGCAGGGAACCCCCAATTGAGCAATTCCCTCTATTAATGCAGACTGGTACCATTCCAACCATTTAAGATTGGCAACTTATAATCTTAGAGAGTTACCCATGACAGCTGGAGGTTAGGTGACTTGCCCAGGGTCACACAGACTATACATACTTGAAGTGGTCTTAGAACTCAGGTCTTCTTGGCTCCAAGGCCTGCTCTCCATTTATTTTGTCATGTTTTCCTCTTTGATCCTATAAATTGTTATCCTATAAATTTTATAAATTTTTATCCTATAAATTATCATTTTCCCCCAGGCCTTGTATATAGTTTGAGATCAGAGAAAAGAACAAAATGTTTCTGAAGACCACCATGTTTTTCTATGTTCACCTTGAAGACTATACCCAATGCATGCTTTTGACAGGAAGAAGGTATTCAAGAGGGCAGTGGTAGTGAAACTTGTACATGGTGGGTGGAATGGATTGGATGCTTCCCCTTGTTGCCTTTGAGATCTGAAATCTTCTTGCATGTCTATCCTGGGAATTGGAAGGAGGAGGTGATGTCTGGGGGCTTCTAGCTAGGCAAAGGGATGTGGGCTGGTTGCTATCTGATCTGGCAGCCCCTAAATCAGGGGATTGACTCTTGGACTGGAGCATTTGCTTCAGTTATGGCATATCAGTTGGTTTTCTCTTTGGGCACAGGAAGCAGAGACAAAGGTAAAGAACTATTGGGAGACCAGGCAGATAGTGTGGCCATTAATTGCTGTTTCAGTCGTAATGCCCAGGATGCATCATACCAGTGATAGGACCTACTCTGAGGCCATTGTGCAGTGGGAGTACCAGAAGGGAAGCAGCAGGGTCTGGAAGAAAGGATGCTGGATTTGGAGTCCAAGGGCCTGAATTTGAATGCTTGCTGTCCTGCCTACTACCTATGTAATCTTGGGCACATTATCATTTTAACTTCTCTGGGCCTTAGTTCCTCATTTGTAAAGTAGGGGCGTTGAATTAGATGGCCTCTGATGGCCTTTTCTGTTCTAAATCTATGATTCTATGAGAGTTATGGGTGGTTGGTGGGGACAGAATAGGACAAAATTGGCTACTGCTGCTACTCTTGCCAGGCCAGTGAGAAGGCAAGGAGTCATTGGTCTTCTTGCCTTGTTTCTCTCTAGTGTGCAGAGTTGGCAGCGGGTGGCTCCTAAACATGGAACCTCTTCCCTTGATATTTGCCCTAACATATGGTAGGGGCAGGGGTAGGCAATGAGTCTTTCTGAATGATTCTTCCAACATCCTAAGAGAGAATGCTAGAAAGAGGCTATTAGAGAAAGTTTTGAGGTGCCAAATGGGTAACATACTGCACAGTGAGAAGGCTTAACAGTTCTTCTTGCAATTTTGTTATGTTTAATAAACTCTGTGACCACAGAAAGTTAATTGATTGTGTAATAATAGCCTATGGCTCACTCCACTGTGCATCTGCTGCTCTGCCTGGTTTCAACTCCAGGGAACAAGATGCCCCTCCCAGGTTAAGCTCATCACCTCTAATCTCCTCATCCTGCTGTTAACTCAAGCCTTGAGTGACACCACCTCCCTTAGCCTCTTCTCCCTTTTGATTGGAGGGTTGGAGGGTGGAGTATTGAACTCCTCCCAAAGCCTTCCTTTATAGAGGGTAGAAACTGGACTTTTTGGCTTGCTGTATAGTCTCATTTTTTTTTCTATTGAGCATGATTCAATTCTTTTGCTTTCAATACCAGAGAACACCATAGTATAGTGGAAAGATTTCTGAATTTGTAGTCACAGGACCTGTGACAAATGTCTAGGCCCTCTAAGGGCTGCTGAGAGTTATTACTGTAATTTTATTTGGGTACTAGCTGTAATGCTTGGCTCATGTCACCAGAATTCGGCAACTTTTTCAAAAATGGTGGAGTAAATGTCCTCAATGCCAAGCTCCTAGGGCATTTTCAAAGGATTCCTATCCTTGTTATTGTTTCTCCTTCCTGGAAAAAAAGGCAATGAATGTGGGTAACTTTCTCAAAGCCCTCAGGGCATCTACCCTATTGCTGTCTAGGGAGGACCTACCTTGAATGTTGCCCTGGGGAAGTTCTCTTGCAAGTGGTTCATCTCAGTAACAGCTAATCATTGAATTCTGTGAATGATTTGGCCAAAGGAACCCCTTGCCCTCCCCCAAACACCCTCCAAATAACTCACTTGGAAACGTTGCTATTGTCTCGGATCTTTACATGGCAGAGAATGTTGGGCAATTTCTGGGTGACGAGGACTTTGATCTGATCCACAGAACTGCAGAGTTTCAGGTAACCAAGGTATAATCCAGGAGGGAGACGCTGTTGGCTCCTTTTCTGGTAAGATAAGATGTCCTGAGGGAAGAAAGAAGTTTCACAAAGATGTTTAGAATTTTCTCCTTTCTGAGACTCACTAATGCAATTTGGCTGAGAAATCAAGTTTGTTGTCATAATTATTGAGGATACAGCTTACATTTGGGTTAAAAAAGTCAACTGGTACAGGATGGAGGAAATAAAACTAGATTTCAGTTCAGTATTTGTCAATTGTGTAATTTGGTTCAGAGCCTGGCTCATGGTAGGTCCTTAATAAATGTAGACTGATTGATTGATGACAGATAAAAACCAAAAATAAATGAAATCCTAGGTTTTAATGAAAGTCATAGTAGAAAGATGTAGGTGGGAATTTCACCCAACTTTGCCCTTATCAATTCATATTAGGAATATTGTGTTCAGTTCTGGGAACCATGTTTTAGGAAAGACATTGGTAAGCTGGAGAATAATCAGAAAAAGTTTAAAGGAAGGTGAAGAAATTGTGCTGTAAGAGGATCCATTGGGGGACCTGGGATACTGAGTCAAGAAACAAGTAGTTTTTGAAATTATCTGATGGTTGTTTTCACATGTTTTTTTCAAGGACTGTCATGTCAAAGAGTCAGAATGGCAGTTAGAAAGAATTTATTAAGAGCTTACTATGTGCCAGGCACTGTGCTAAGTGCTGGGGATAAAACAAAAAGTCAAAAAAATCAGTCCCTGCTCTCAAGAAGCTCACATTCTAATGGGGGGAGATAACATGGAAACAGGCAGGTACATACAAAATATATACAGGATAAAATGGAAGGTGATTGCACAGGGTGGTAACTGGGGGAGGGGGTGTGTGGAGAAGGGAAACCAGGAAAGGCCTTTTGCAGAAGATGGGATTTGAGATGAATCTTGAAAGAAGCCAGGAAAGCCAGGAGGTAGAAGTGAGGAAGATCATTCCAGGCATGGGGGATAGCCAATGAAAAGTCAGGGAGTTGGCATGTATTATGTGAGGAACAGGAAGAAAGCCAGCGGAGCAGGATCAAGGAGTATGTGGAGGTGATTAAAGCATAAGTGGAGTGGAAAGATTAGAAGGGAACAGGTTATGAAGGCTTTCAAAGTCAAATGGATTTTGTGTTTTGATCGGTTAGGCAATAGGGAAACACCGGAGTTGAATGAGTAGGGATGTGACATGGTCAGACTTGTATGTTAGGAAGATCATTGATAGCTGAGTAGAAGGAGGACTGGAGTGGGGACAGACTTGAGGGAGAGACCCACCAGGCTACTGCCATGGTCCTGGAGTGAGGTGATGAGGGCCTGTACCAGAGTGGTGGCACTGTCAGAGAAGAGGAAGGAGTGTATAAGAGAGATGCTGGAAATGGAGAATCCACTTAGAAGACTTAGCAATAGATTGGATATGTGGGCGGGGAGTGATGGATGATACCCAGCTTGTAAGCCTGGATGACTTGTTAGATGGTGGTACACTTGGCAATATTAGGACAATTTGGAAGCAGGGTGGGCTTTGGGGAAAAGATAATTAAAGAGGAATTAGACTTGTTCTGTTTCACTTTGGGGGAAGAAGTAGGAGTGGAAGGCAGATTCCAGTTGTTTCTTGGTATTTCAATGAAATCGTGTATGTTAGGGGAAAATGTCCTAAGTATTTGTGTGGTAACAAAGAATGGGCTGCCTTGGGGCATGGTGAGTTCTTCTCCAGTAGAAGCTCTATGACTCTTGGTTGGATATATTGAATAGGGGACTTATAGCCAGGAACAGGTTGGACTACATGCCTATGTGGTCCATCTTTTTCCACTCTGAGAGTTTATGATTCTGTGAAGGGTCTGTGGCAAGACTGGTCTTTGTCATCAAGATTTCTTCTTGGAGTCATTCTGTGTCTATCAATCCGGTGTTGAATAGCTACTGTGTACTGAGCTCCATGGAAGAGGCAGGGGTGGGACCCTTAGGGGCAAGTTTACATAAAAGAAATTTAAAGGTAGTCTCTGCCACTGGAGAGAGAGCTCACAGTCAATTGGAAAGATAGGCCCTACTAAAGAACAATAATAATGATTATTATATTATATATGCTTACATAAATATATAAATATTATATTTACATATGGTTTGCATAAGCTTTATGGTGTACAAAGCACTTCAGACGTATTATCTCCATTTTTCTGTGTAACAACTCTAGGAGGTAGATTCTATTATCATTTTCATTTTATAAATTGGTAAAGTTTCATCAAAAGAAATTGAATGATTTATTCAGGGTCACTTAGGGAGGGTCTAAATCAGGATTTGAACTCAGACCTTTCTGACTTGAAGCAAGGACTCAATCGTCACCTAGGCAGTGTGTCAATGTAACCTGGGGGTACTTCTCCCATTCTCGATGATCGATCAGAGATGCTTGACATTAGCTCAGCAGGTACATATGCCAGTTCTTTCAATATCAGAAGATGTAGTTCATCTGAGTCAGATGGCTTTGATTCATCAGAGGCTCTTGCTATCTCCTTATTAATTTTGGGTTTCAATTACTAATTCGCCATTTTTTGTTCTGTCCTTGAGAGGCACGTAAGCAGTACAATTCATGTTGTGCTTGGAGCTGGGAAGACCTTTCAAATCCTGAGTGGTACACTTAGTAGCTGTGTAATCCTAGACAAGTCACTTAACCAGGGGTGTCCAGAAGCCAGCTCTAATGGGAATTGGTTGTTAAATGTTCAGCCTGAGTGTTAATGGGGCAGCTAGGGAGTGTGGTGGATAGAGCACCGTGCTTGGAGTCAGGAAGACCCGACTTCAAATACGGTCTCAGGCAATTACTAGCTGTGTGACCCTGGGTGAGTCACTTAATCCTGTTTGCCTCAGTTTCCTCAACTGTAAAATGAGCTGGAGAAGGAAATGGCAAACCACTCCAGTATCCTTGCCAAGAAAACTCCGAAGGGGGTCAGGAAGAGTTAGACATGACTGAAAAATCAACAGAACACCAACAACAGAGTCTGCAAGCAATCTCATCAGTGCTCTGCAAGATAGCATGACATAGTAGATAGAGCATTGACTTTGGAGTCAGGATGGAATTCAAATCCTGTGTTAGGCATTGCGTGGGACCCTGGTCAAGTCTCTATGAACCTCAATTTCCTCATATAAAATGGAGATAATACTAGCACCTACTCTGTGCCTGGTACTACGCTAAAGAGCTGAAGATTCTGAAAGGGTGCTGTGGCAAGAGGAGAGCTCCACGGAAGTTGAAATTTGGATGGAGTGCTGGGCCTAGAGTCAGGAAGACCTGAGTTCAAATCCACATCTACTCTGTGTAGGACCCATGACAAGTCACTTAACCTCTCTGTGTCTCAATTTCCTTACGTGTAATATGAGGGTTTGGACTTGAGGCCTCTAAGGTCCCTTCTAGCTCTAAATCTATGATACTATGATTTTCCTTAGGAAAAATAAATTAATCAGAGCATTGTGTCCAGTTTTGATAATCATAATTTAAGAGCAGAAGGAGAAAGACTTGGAGAAAATGAAAACTAATATTCATGATGGATGTTTATATGGCAGTTTAATCATTTACAAAGTAATTTGCATCCATTGCCTTATTGGTCTAGTAGAATTAAGATCTTCATAGGTAGGGGCCTTTTTATTCCTAGCATCTTGTACAATGCCTTGAACATTTTTGTTGTTGTTGAGTCGTTTCAGTCATGTCTGACTCTTTGTGACCCCATTTGGGGTTTTATTGGCAGAGATACTGGAGTCATTTGCCATTTCCTTCTCCAGCTCCTTTGACAGATGAGGAAACTGAGGCAAACAGGGTTAAGTGACTTGCCCAGGGTCACCTAACTAGTAAGTGTCTGAGGCCAGATTTGAATTCAGGAGGATGAGTCTTCCAGACTCCAGGCCCCACATTCTATCCACTGTGCCACCCAACTGCCCCCTGCTTTGAAGATAGTAGGTTCTTAATAAAAGCTTGTTAAATTGAATGGAATTTTCACCACAACAAACCCAGGAAGGAAGTGGTTGAAGTATTATCCTTATTTTACAGATGAGGAAAATGGAGCCCAGAAGTATATGCATCAAACTAACTACTACATTGTGGCCACGGCAACAGTCCCATTGAAGACTGTGGTACCTGAATAGGGCTATTCCATCATGGAACCCACAGTTAGTGACACTTTCAACAGGAAACTCAGCAAGTAGCTAAGGGCCTCCTGGGAGTGTTCTGGGTGTGTTTTTGTTAGGGTTGGGGGCCAAACTGCACAGTTTATGCTAGTCATGTTAGGCATTGTGGGGACTGTCCAGCCTGCCTGGGATCTTGGAAGTCACTAGGCCTTATCTCTAGCTTCATGGGGACATCTGAGCCTTGGTTGGGCCCTTTGCCACGTAATGAGTACCTCACTTCCAGGAGTGCCGACACTTGCCTGGAAACCTGCCCCCGTGGTTCTATACCCCAAGAAAATGACCTGTAAAGGGGAGGGGCAAAATGGGGGGAGGGTTCAGAGGGGAAGAGAGAAAACGACATCAGGCAGGAATGTGCCAGTCAGCAGGGGTAAATTTTCCACTTGGATCTGGGTGGAAATCTGATCCTGCCTCTATTTTTGGTCTCCTTCTCTAACAACCTCTGCCCAGATTGGAATTTCTCTGCACCTGTAACACATTTTTAATGGAATAAGTCTAGCAGAAACCAGGTATTATATCATGCTGAGGCCTGAATGGTATTTCTGGGAGCATTACTGAAAACCCAAGGTAGCCCAGACCTCAGTTTATCCCTTTGGGGATTAGTGTATTAGTCACCCCGTAAAAGCTCAATTGATTATGATTTTTTAAATGTTTCCTTGAGCATGTGTTTATAAATGATGAAAAAAGAAATCTACCAATGAGCTAGTGGGATTTTCCTCTGCCTTTATCAATTTCATATGAATCAGAATCCTATAAAATCTAATCTAGAGGCTTTAGTTATTTTTTTCCCCCCAATTAGCCTTCCTGGCCCACACTATAGCTTGTCAGGGCTCAGGACAAAACAAAAAATTGAAACACATTCTCATCCTGGGCACCCCTTTGGCTAGGGATTAAGTAGATTAGTGGGCTGGATCACTTGATTGGTCAGAGCAGACCTAGTGGTGCTAATGGGACCATGGTTAGAGATTTGATTCTTTTATGGTTTTCTGACTCTTTCCTCCCCTCCCTCACTCTACTATCCAGCTGTCCCAGCATGATTGCTGTTGCTCATGTACAAAGTATCACCTCTTGTCTCTACACCTTTGTCCTGGCTGTCCTCTGTTCCAGGAATGCATCCTCACCTTCAACCTCTTGGAATCTTTGTTTCCTTCAAGACTCAGCTGAACCTCCACTTTATGCAGGAGGCCTTTCCTGGTCCCCCTAGTTGCTAGGGCCATCTCCTCTTAGGGGGCTAGGGACATTCCCTTCCATTTATTCTAAATGTATTTTGTATGCTCTTCCTCGGTCCCTCCTGCCCCTTCACTCTCTGTATATACACATACTCTTTCTGTTCTCTCTCTGTAATACACATACACACACACACACACACATACATACATACATACATATATATATATATATATATATATACACATACATATATATACTGTCTCCCTTCCTCTCTCCCCCTCCTTTCTCCCCTCTTCTCTTCTTCTCTACCTCACCTCTTCCTCTATACCCTCTCTATGTACTCTTTATACTCTACATAGAACTGAAGATAAATATAAATATATAATATACATATTTGTATATATGTGTGTGTATATATATGTATATGTGTGTATACATATATATGTATATATACATATATGTATATATGTGTGTATATATACACATATATATGTATATATGTGTATATATATACACATATATACGTATATATGTGTATATATATACATATATACACATATATATGTATGTATGTATACTTCATTAGAATATAATGTCCTTGAAGGCAGAGATTGGCCTTTGCCTTTCTTTCTATCCTTATAGCTTAGCATAGTGCCTGGTATAGAGTCAGTGCTTAATAAATACTTGTGGATTGATTGATTGATTATATTTCCCTTAAAGCTTCACACAAAGGAACAACAACAAAAGAAAAACCCACAATAAAAACCCAGAACCTGCCTCTGGCCATCTCCTATTTTGGCATCTCCAATTTGCATTGGCCTCCTTATTGATGTGTATTAGCGGTTATGATGGAACAGACTAAAAACAGGAATGGAGTGGGAGACAATGGATAGTTTGATGCAAACCATTTCTACAACAGGAAGAATCTTTCATAGCACATACCCTTCTTTGGAACAGCTTTCCGCCATTGAGGTCACCTTCTCCCATTAGTGATTACCTCCTACAATCTTCATTTAGAGGAAGGGCCTTAGGCCAGTCCTTAGTTCCTCTTCTGGCTGTGATTATGACTCTTCCAATTCCCCCCCCCCATTTTTAGATCCCTTTTATGAGTTGTCTTCCTTGGTAGAATGTAAATTCCTTGAGGGCAGAGAGCTTGTTTCTTTTTGCTTGTTTTCCTATCCCCAATGCATAGTTCAATACTGGGCACGTATTAGATGCCTAATAAATGCTTGTTGACTGACTGGATAACCAATTGACTAACTCAGCCTCAGACACTTACTAGCCATGTGACCCTGGACAAGTAACTTAACCCTGATAGCCTCCAAAAAAAGGTCAGTTGACTAATTGTGCCTTATTTCATCTTTGTAGCCACAGCTCCAAGCTGAAGCTCTTCTATTTTATTTGCTCCCCCCACCAATGCCTTTACTTTTGACCTACACTTGTTATTACCTAGCTACAAGTTCAGAGTCACAGAATTCCAGCATTGGAGAAGACCTCAGAGGCCAATGAGGACATCCTATACCTGATATGAAACTCCTTCTACAACCTACCAGATGACTGGTCATCCAGAGTTAGCTCAAAGATCTCCAATCTCTAATGAAGGGGAAGGAAGCTGCTACCTCCCCTCTCCTCCATCCCCACCCTCACTCCAAGGCAGCCCACTCCACTTCGGGATAACTGATTTTTTGGATGTTTCCCCTCCCATAAAGTCTAAATTTGCACCTTAGCAACTTTCACACATTATCCCTAGTACTGCCAAGAAAAACAAGCCCAATCATCTTTCCACCAGACAACTTTTCAAGTACTTGAGGACAGTCGCCATGTTTTCCCCAGCATCTCTAGTTCCTTCATCTAATCCTCACATGGCGCAAAGACCTTCCCTGTTCTGGTTGCTCTCCTCTGGACTCTCTTTAGCCTAACAAGCAATGTTCTTCCTCAACTGAAGTTCCTAAGACTATTCCAGTTATTTTTTAATGTCATTTTCCTATGGCCAGTAATAGCTCCTCTACCATATACCTGCCTCCATTGTTATGTCTTAGATTATGACCTCCTAGGGGACAGGAGAGGAGCTGCAATCATGTTATTGTCTTTGCACAGTGTCTATCATCTAATAAGGGTCATTTAGGGATGAGGATAGTATTAATTCTCTTTACTTCTGGATATGGGGAAGGAGTTAGTTGACATGATGGGTAGAGTCCTGGAGTCAATCTGAATTCAAATTATGCCTTAAACACTACCTGTGTGACCCTTGGTGAGTCACTTAACGTTTCAGTTTCTTCATTGCAAAATGAGAATAATAATAGTGCTTATTTTATAAGGTTTTTGTGATGATCAAATGAAATAAGTATAAAGTGCTTTGCAAACCCTAAAGTACTATATAAATACTAGTTGTTATTATTGTTATTGCTGTTGTTTTTATTATTATCTTTATCATTATAAATGAGGACCCTTTTCTGAGCCTTACAAGATTCTGCTCTCCTTGATAAAGAGCTGGTGGTGTGCCTTCCCCCACCTTCCACTCTGACTTCTTCCATTATTACTTACTAAAATGACTCTTGGTATTTAGTTACTAAAGCTCTTGTTACAGCCTAGTGGCCTCCAAACAATTCTGATTCCTTACCCCTATCAATAAAACATCTTTGAGCCCACATACACCTATGCCCCAACCTGTGGTAGAGCCTTCTGAGTTGGTATTGGTCTGATCAGCCACAAATGGACACACTGTACCTCAACCCTGAGATAATGAATGCATTTTGGTCCTCTTCAAACACCAAGGATGAATAACCAAACCATGATAGGTTTATATTTATTTATATAGCACAGTCATATACTACTATAATAATAAATATTTATATTATTTAACTTACACAAAATAGACATTTTTAAAGCATGAGATAAAGACGAAATGGTATTTGATCCGAGTCAACAGGGAACCACTAGAGTTTATTGAATAGGGGAATGATATGGCCAAACTCGCAATTTAAGAAAATCACTCTGGCTGCAGAGTGGAGGATGGGCTGATCTGAGGTAGGAGGTCGATTAGAACTCTTTGAAATCACCTAGGTGTGATGTGATGAGGATCTGAATTAGGGTGGTGGCTGAATGAGTGAAGAGAAGGGGATGTTTGGGAGGGAGGCTGTGGCAGGACTGGATAGGCAAGTCGAGAAAAAGTGAGGGGTGGAGGATGATGTCAACATTGTGAACCTGGGTGACCAAAGTATAGTGATGCCCTCTAAGTGATAAGGAAATATGGAAAAGGGGTAAGTTTGAGATAAATGCCAAAACGATGAGCTCTGTGATGAAGATTACAACCCATCCATGCCTTTTCATCTTGTGTTGCTTGTTCTGTCTGAAACAAAACCAAAAAGTGAGATGTAGGACTCTTATTCAGTGATCACTGATTTGGTAGAATTTATCCTCTGAAGAGCGCCCACTGGAGCCACAAGGTAATCCAGGGGATAGGAGGTGAGAATGTTGAGGGTGCACAATTTTCTCAATGGCACCTGCCCCACTCCTTGTGAGTGCCTGGATAGCAGTTAAATGGCAACTGCCTTGGCTCAGAAGAGGAGAGGTTAGGAACTTGTATAATCAAGGGAGCAAGCAAAACTGATGAGCATTGGGAGATAAAGGTAGATTTGGTTTTGTTGGAGACAAACTCTACAATAGGCCTTTGTGGAAAGGGTGGGGTGTGACCTATTTTTTCATCCTTTATTTGGTTGATCACACAACTCTTGAGGTCACACTATGGCTCCTAGTTTGGAGACTTGTAGTACCTAATTTGGTACTTGGAGTCAGGACACACTTGGGTTCAAATCCCACCTCAAACACTCATTGGCTGTGTGATCTTGAGCCAATTACTTGCCCTTTTGTTTTTCCCATCTGTAAAAGGGGGATAATAATAAGAGAAGAAGAATATTTTTCATAAAGATCAAATGGTATAAAAGGTGCAGAAGTGCTCTCTAACTGTGGCACAATGCAAATATGATCTGTTGTTATCTTAGTTCAAGGGTGTTTGAAATTATACACATATAGGTAAACAGAAAAAAACACTACCTGGATGGTTATGACTAAGATGTCTAGGGCTGTTGGCTCCTCTGGAGTTGACAGTGATTTTCTCTGGCTCTGTAGCTTTGATATCTGCATCCATTTACCATTGAAAAATGAATAAAGTGTTTCCACCTCTCTGATTGTGACTATGACGATGTTTCCATGCCGATCCTTAATTGGCTCATAGTAAACTCTTCCCAAATTGTGGGTTCCAAGTAAATTCTAGAAATGAATGTGTTATTGATAGCTTAGGTGAAATTGCAAAGAGAAAAATTATGGCTGTCATGAAATAAACAGGGTTATTCTTTGATAATTCTCAGAAAGTGCTGATGTAGATTTAACACTAAGATAGATGATATCATCAAAACATACTTTACAGAAGCCCTCATAGTCCAACTTCACCACCTGGCTGAAAACATTATAGCAAGAGGCACAAAAATTACAATTGAAAATTCTAACTCAATACCTATAAATCTCTTCCTACCAACAGGTTCTTTCCTCTTCCATCCTTTCTCTACATAGCTGCTGGACTGATATTCACATAGCAAAGGTCTATGTCAATCTCTTTATTCAGTAAGCCTCAGTGGTCCCCTACTGTCTCTAGAATAAAATACTCCTCTATTATATATATATAAAGCCCTTCACAATGTGGCTCCAAGCTGTCCTTTCAGAGTGATCTAGATTACTTGCTGTTCCCTCTATATAATATTCCTTTTGTTTTCCAAAATAAATTTTATTAATATCTTTTATTGACATAACCTACATTTCCAAGTATATTCCTCCTCCCTCCCTCCCCTGACCCCAAGAGCCATCCTTTATAACAGAGAATAAAGAAGAGGGTGAAAAACAATTCAGCAAAACTACCATTGAGAAAAGTCCAAGTTCAAAAGTTGACTGAGTGAAGGGAAGCAGTAAAGCATAGATCCCAATCAAATCTCCTCCACAAAGATCTAGAAAATGCACCACACCAAATTTTGTTCAGGAAAGGCAAGAAAAAAGTCATAGGAAGTCATTTTTCCAGTCCACAATGGCTTAAGGAGACTGATAGGGAGGTCTTTGGACACTGGGGTTGGGATTTAGCCAGAAGTATGCCTGCATGCAGAGCAGTTGAACTTTTTCAAGGGGAATGAGATGAGGTGCCAGGTCAGAAAGCACATGGATAAAAAGAGGTCCCAAGGGATCCTGGTGTAGGGTGCAGGAATGATGTCATCTGGCAGCTCTGAATTTATATCCCCAATACACAGCATAGTGTCTTGCACATAGAAAGTATATAATAAATGCTTGTTGACTTGATTTGACTGTGGGACCATGGGTAAGTCACTTAAGGTCTCTGTCTCAGTTTTCTCATCAGTAAAATGGGAATAACAGTAGGATTTGTCTTAGTGAATTATTGTATCAATCAAATGTAAAGTGCTTCATAAACTTTAAAGTGCTATAGAATAATAATGATAATTATCATCACCATCATCCCCTCATAAGGAAAAAATCTGGACATCACAGTGGACCCACAAGTTAAACAGGAATTGAGAATCAAGAATTATGTAAGCTCTGAATTAGGACTTGAAAAATAAGTATAACTTTCAGATATTGTGAGGTCACCTTCCTGCTATAGACTCAGTATCACCCTTTATCAGAGGGTGGAGTTCTATTTGAGGTGATACGGAGAAGCTGGAGGAAGTGAACAGCAGAGATATGAGAACTCCGACAAAGATTTATTTTTGGAAGATAGAATTTCCCCAAGGAAAATGGAAAAAGGTTTGAATTAAGGAAATTCTTTTTTTTTTTTTAAGAATTATGTTAAAGTTAAGTTATTTCTGTATTGTGACAACCCTTTACTACCATAGAATGATTTTTAAAAGCTATTCAATAGAAAACCTAAATGAGAGCAACTTGAAATTTTCTGTGGTGGTACCTCTGTTGAGGCACTAAGTGGCTCAGTGGATAGAATGCTGGGCCTAGGGTCAGGAAGACCTAGTTTCAAATCTGGCCTTAGACACTTCCTAGCTGTGAGATTCTTAGCAAGTCCTTTATTGTTTGCCTCAGTTTCCTGTACTGTAAAATGGGGATCATAACAGCACTTACCTTGAAGGTTTATTGTGAGGATCTAACGAGACAATATTTGTAAAGTTCATGGCACTATGCCAAGTAGTAGATGCTGTGCAAATGTTTATTCCCTTCCACTAATATCAGAGCAGTCCTTTTTGTAGTAGAGAGGAAAGAACTGGATTTGGCCTTGTAGGAAGTTGAGTTGAGTCTGCCACTTCCTACCTATGTGACCTAGAGCAATCCCCTCTCTGAGCCACAGATTCTCCATCAGCAAAAGGAGAAAACTTGATTAGGTGACCCCTATGTTCCCTTCTAGCTCCGAATCTCTGAAGGCAGGACACCAAGGATAAGTAGCAGAGTGCAGCTGTCCAATGTAGACTGAGGTGCTTATAACCCTCCAGCTGGCCCTGCCTTCTTTGCTTATGACCTTCCTCTTGCTAACTTTTGATATGAAAATTGGCAGATGTGTTTCTGTCTTTTTGACAAGGCCTCAAAGGATTTGGACTTATTGCAACATTGCCAATCTCTTCATTTTCACCTTTTTGCCTGCTTTTCATAAGCTCGCAAAAAACCAAAAATGTAGAGAAGTCAGTTTCCCAAAAGTTCAGCTTTTTAATAACAAAATTTAACATCAATACACTCTTAATTCTTGTCAAAGAAACAAATTTATAATTATTGTCTGAATATTTTATAATATACCAGGAAGGGTGATTCTACAAGCAAACCAAGGTTTGGCTAATACATTTTTATGTTCTTAAATTAACCAAGTTACTTTAGATAATGTGCTTTAAAAAAGATAGTGAATGACATTTTAGTTTTTGCACAAACTTCCTTCACTCCTTTTAGCCAGGGTGGGGTTAGGGATAACACAACAGGCTTTTTTTTTTTTCATTTTCTTTTCATGCTTTGACATTTCCAGAGATTTTACATAACTGGTTCTGGAGGAAAGCAGACAAAGTGATTAAAAGTTTGGGTAATGGATCTTATTAGCAAAGGTCAAAGAACTGGGATTACATATTTTAGGATAAGTGCCAGATTAGACAGTCTCAGATCTCTGATGGGAGACTGTGTAAGGGAGGGTAAGTGGCTATTTTCTGGTTGTGCTGAGAAATAGGGCAGGAGGAAGCAGAGAGCTGACAATGAACCCATTAGATGGATGGGAACAAAGGAGCCTCATTTGGATGGAAAATACTGCATCAAACACCCTTTTAGGACTTAGTATGTCTCATTGGGAGAATTTTCCTTGATTAAGTGGCTGAAAATGCAGACACTATGACCTCTCTGTCATGCTATGATTGGGCTTGACGCAGTCCAATAGCCTGCTACAAGAATCTACTTCATAACAAGGTCCTTTTGGTAGATCTGAGTCATAGGGTCATAACCATAGGGCTGTAAAGAATCTTACAGCTTAATTAACCCAACTCCCTCATTTTGCAGAGGAAACTGAGGAATTTACTCAAAGTGTCTGGACAACCAGTAAGTATCTGACCTCTTTAGGTGATTCCCAAGGCAAATATATCAAGTACTGACTTCTGAAGTACAGCTAGGAGCATCCCATCAGGGTTTTAGTGGATTGATGTTATAGAGTTTTATAGCACTTTTAAAGAAAACCTTTAATAGAAGAAAAATCTTCTATTGAATTTTCATGAAGAAGGGAAAATATACTAAGACTCACAAATGGATGGACCTGGAGTAAACATTTGGTGATGGACAGCTGGAAACTAGGAAATCAAGTCCAAAAGTGAGCCAAAAGTCCATAATCATTTCAATATGGCATGGCAATCCGGGAGCTAATGGAAGTTTCTTCCCTCCTCCCTTTTAGGGATAGGATTCAGTCTTTTGTGTCTTACTCTACTTTTCTAATGGTAGCTGAGAAGCAAATTATATTCACTTCACCTTTTCATCCCTGTCTTCCCTTTCTTCCCTTCTCCCATATACCTTACCCTTTCTTTTTCAATGTATATTGGCTTTCTATGAAAGTATTCTAGGAAGACTCAAAAAATTCAATTGTGTCAATTAAGTGGACAACCCTCTCCCCCCATCCCCCATCTCAATCAGCAGTGGATAACCCAGCAGCCTCTCACAGACCAGTGACCCCACTCTAGGAAAGGGATAAGACTGAGTGCTCAGAGCCATAAATTCACATAATACCAGGAAACCACGAAAGGGAAACACAGCAGAGACAAAGACTCTGTCTCCCCAGGCACTTGGAACTCAATACCATTTCTAGGAAGAGCTCTGTAACCTACAAGTATCCTTGGGGGGCTCTGAGACCTGATCTGTGTGGGCTGATGGTAAGGGAGGATTAAGAATAATTTTAGGATTAAAGGTAAAACCTGCAGAAGCAAAAAAAAAGCAAAGAAGGAAAAGAAAAAAAAAAGAAATAGGCCAGAAAACTACATTGGGAATGTCTACGGTTTATCTTCCAAGTCATTACCCTGAGTCCACTTTATACTCTGTGAGACAATGCTAGTGGCTTTCTATTCTCCTGACACTTTCCTGAACTCTTCACATATTCTTAGTGACTGTATCCATGTCCCTGAAGGTAACCAAAGCCACCTATGTCTGTGGCTGGTTGTCAGGAAATAGATCCCTTGTAAGAGCATAGCTGTTGAATACGTGACTACCGATGCTTCTCAGGGGCCATGAAGAGAGAAAGCCACCTGCCCCCATTCCAGGTTTTATTGTGAATATTTCTGAGGGGGATGAGCTTGTGAGGAAGTCCTCCACAAAGTTTTTCTTGGGCCTTTAGAAAGGAAACTTGGCTCCTCACCTGAAGCTGAGCTGTGGCTGTGAGCATCTTCTGCCTGGCCTGCAGTGCTGTGGATGAGGACATGGAGATAGGTACAGTTTGTCGCAACCACCGGATATCTTCCCACATACAAGACAACTGCAAAACAAGTCACAGGGTCATTTTCTGCATTTTAATTAACATTCCCCTCCAATTTTATTTACTTATTTTGGCTAGTGTGTGGCTAAGATTTTGCATCAAAATTTGAAAGGGAATTGTTGTGGGTGTCCTACAGAAATTTTAATTTCTCTCTAGTTGAAAAAGGATTTGAATACTGATAAGATAGTCCGATCCATTGTGTAGACAACAATGACTTCATCTGGATCTTGGCCTGTTTTATGATTTGAGTAGTGGGGTCAAGGGAAAAGAGTGTTAGATTTGGAGTTAAGGAAAGTGAGTTTGAATCCTCACTCTGCTACTCACTATTGATTTGACTGGGGGCAAGACACTTAACCTTTCTGTGTCTCAGTTTTCTCACTTGTGAAATGGAGGGATTGGACTAGATGCCTCTGAGGTCCTTTTCATCTCTAAGTCTAGGAATCCATTCTGCTTGTTTTGAAATTTTAAAGCATAGGCATTATTTGGTAGCTTTTTCTTGAAACATGAACGTTATGGTTGGAAACAAGAGCATGCTGGTAAAATATTTAACAACTACTCTCTGGAAAAATATATTCATGACATACTTCTAAGTTTAATTTGCATTATTCACATTTTTCTCTGTCACCCTCTTAAGTCTAGACAATCATCAAAACAATAAATTAAGTTCTGATTTGTAGCAATTGTAGATTTACAAATTGTAAATGTGCACACTGAAAATTTAACAGCTCTTACCAGCCATTGTGAGCCAGCTCCAACATACCTATGGTTTGAAAAGACCTTAGATCGGGTAGTTCAACAACCTCATTTTACTGATGAAAAGGTCGAGGTCCAGATAGGGGTTGTGACATCCAGCTAGTCAGTTGTAAAGCTGGAGTATCCTAAGACCTCAGTATCCTAACTCTTGGCTTCCTTCAAGTTCTACCAAAAGTGTCTCCTATAAGAAGCCTTTCCTGATTCCTTGAATGCTAACATTTTCCTTCTATTGGTTATCTCCAACTTATCCCATGTTTAACTTGCTTATACATAATTGTTTACATGTTAGACTGTGGGGTCCTTGGGAACAGAGATTGTCTTTTGCCTTTTATTGTCTCCCCAGCACTTAGCACAGTTCCTGGCACATAGAAAATGATTAATAAATGCTTGTTGATTCACTGATTGGTTTCCCTTGGAAAATTGAAATGTGGAACCCAAGGACAACCGTCAAGAACTTTTTTTTTTTTAAATTGACTTTACTGAAATTGCTCCTCCTCCCAACTCAGGATGCACAGACAATGATGTATCTTTCGGTGAAAGTATGAAATAAAACCCCAGTGTACCTTTGTGAACCACAGAAAATCTTGCGTAATGGAACTGGAGTGAGAATCATCGATTTCAACAATTGGTATTTGATCTTCATTGGTGACTAACATATTATCTTTATAATAAAATATAACAGCTATATAGAGTCCCCTAGAAAGAAAGAAAAAAGCAAAATAAAACATCATCCTTGGTCTTTTCTGCCTTCACTAACCCTGAATCAGGGAAATATTTTTGCAAAGGCCAAATTCAATTTAATTATATGTGCTTATGATTCCTGCTAGGTATTCCAACACTCTAGGGAGAATTAGTGGAGAAATTACCATCTTCTCTAAACATTGAGAAGAATGAACTTACTACTCTGGGGGGTGAGAGGTGTCACTGAGGGTAGAAAGTTTCATTTTGCTGCTCCCAAACCAGTGGATTCCTGAGAAGACAAGATTATGGGTTAGGGTGTTTCCTAGAAGCAATACTTAGAACACACCGTTTCAAGGTCTTCACAAACTTGTTTGAGGAATGGAATAGATGTTTCAGGCTTCTTGAGACTGACTGCTTTCGTCCTGTGCTCTGTAATTTTGAACTTTCTGAAACACAAAAAATGGAAATAAACAAAATAAAACCTGTAGTAGGATTTCAGTTTGTCAGAATAACACTAAGGGTAGAAAATATTCTCCCTCCATTCTCCCTGCTCCTCAGTGTTATCTAGGGGTGGGAGAGGGTTGTTGTTGTTATTCTTTCCCCTTTTTTCCACGGACCCTGTTAATAGCCAGTCCTAATTGGCTAATTCCCTAGCTCCGGCCTCTCTTTCCAATCCATTCTCCATACAGATGTCAAATTGTTATTCCTAAAGCATAGGTCTGACCATATCATTTACTTTCCCAGTCAATTCAGTTATTGCCTCTTGGGTAAAATCCATGTCTTCTTTTCAGCATCTAAAACCCTCTATAAGACTCCAACCCATTTTTCCAGCCCTACAAATTATTATTTATAGCCCCAAAGGAAACCATTAGAAAACCTTTATGTTATACTTTTTAGATCAATGATTTACTTGTGAAGCGGGCCATGGAAGGAGAGAAGCTCCCCCTTCATATTAATTTTCACTTTTCAGTACTGCAGAAATCCTGCCTTAGTTATTCTCTGATTTTCATTTTAATATATGAGTCAGTAGTGGATAGAGAGCTAGCCTCAGAGCCTGGAAGACTTGAGTCCAAGCATCACTTCTGATATATACTGATAGTGTAATCCTGGGCAAGTAACTTAGCCTTTCAGGGCTCTAGGCAACTCTACAAGATTATAAATTACAGAGAAGGTGCTGATCTGCATTGGTTGTGGGAATTTCTTCATTAAGGAGTTCTCTATACCAATAAAATATCTATCCATATTCCCTTGTTAAATATATCCCAACACAATGTTGACAGGACCCAATAGTCTATTGTTCCAGGAAGGCCACTGGTAAAGAAGTACAATACACCAAATCCAAAAGCTGACATATTCATTTCACATGTGAACAACATGTCCTATAAACTCTTCATACTTAGAATGATAATAATAGCATTTATATATCACTTTCACATTTACAAAGTGCTTTAAAAATATTATCTCTTATTATCTTCACAATGACTCCCGGAAGTAGGTGCTATGACTATCCCCATTTTACAGATAAGGAAACTGAGGCAGGCAACGCTTGAGTGATTTGCCCAGGGTCACACAGTTAGCAAATGTATCAGGCTGGATTTGAACTCAGGTCTCCTTAACTCCACATCCAGTGTTCTATCTATTATGCCACCTAGCTGCTTTAACTGGAAGGTATGTATGAACAAGAAAGTGTCTGGTTGCTTGTTTGTCAGTTCGTTCTTGGCTTAGGATCATCAGAGACTTTGGGTGATATGTCATGGAGCTGGCATCTGCTATCACCATGTTTGCCAAACACTGGCTCAAATATTGTAAGATTACCCAGGGATTAAGGTGTGTACGAGGGGTGAGGGACCAAGGACAGACAAAATGGTGTTCTTCACGATGCTGCATTTAGTTATTGGTGTTAGTGCACACACTTTCTGGCCTAGTAACTCTTCCCTGTGAATGACATCCCATCTTCTACTTCCATCCATGCCTTTGCAAAGTGGTCAACCATGTTTGGAGTATGTAACCAAAGTTCTTCAGAGAGACCTTGAGAGTATCCTTTTATCACTTCTTCTGACCTCTGTATGAGCACTCGTCTTGGGTGAGTTCTCCGTAAAATAGTCTTTTAGGAAAACATATGTTTGGCATTTGAACAATGTGGCCAGCCCATCAGAGTTGCACTCTCTGTAGTAGAGTTTGAATTCTTGGCAGTTTAGCTCAAGAAAGAACTTCAGTATCCAGCACCTTATCTTGCCAGGTGATCTTCAGAATCTTCCTAAGACAATTCAAATGGAAGTGATTCAGTTTCTTGGCATATGGCAGTGGTATACTGTCCAGGTTTCACAGGAATATAATTATGAGGTCAGCAGAACAGCTCTGTAGACTTTCATTTTGGTAGGCAGGCTAATACCTCTTCTCTTCCACACTTTCTTTTGGAGTCTTCCAAACATTGAGCCAGCTCTAGCATGTGGCCATCAAATTCATTGTCTATGTGTACATCCCTGGAATGTATATTGCCAAAGTAAGTCAACTTAGCAATAGCATTCAAAATTTCACCATGTGCAGTAACTGATGGCATAATCCATGTATGGATGATGTGGTACTGTCTGGCGGAGAAACTCTTTTCTTGCTATTGTCAGGCCAAAATGAGCACATGTGGCAGAGAACTGATCCACATTCTGGTGCATTGCAGCCTTAGAGGCTGCATTGAGCGCACAATCATCTGTGAACAAAAGCTGTGCACCACTCTCCCTCCACTTTGATCTTGGCTTGTGGCTTTTTCAAGTTAGATAATTTACCATCAGTGCAGTAGCTGACCTTGATGCCATTTTCATCCTCGTTGAAGGCATCTGACAACAACACTGAAAACATCATGCTAAAAAAACATCATGGGAGCAAGCATGTAGCCCTGCTTCACTCCACTAGTGACTGGGAAAACACAAGAGTACTGTCCTTTTTCCAGAATCTGAGCAAGAATGCCATCATGGAGCTGATGTACAATACTAATGAACTTCTCCAGGCAACCAAATTTTGCCACAATCTTCCATACGTGCTCCTGACTGACAGTATCAAAAGCCTTGGTTACATTGATGAATGTTGTATACAGACCTCTGCTCTGCTCCTGGCATTTCTCCTGGAGTTGTTGGTCAGCAAACACCATGTTGATCATTTTTGGCCTTTCTGAAGCCACACTGGCTCTTAGGTAGATGATCATCTTCCAGGTGAAGGATCAGCTTATTAAGGAGGAGTCTGGAAAGAATATTGCTGGCAATGACTAAGAGAGAGACCTCCTTGTGATTGATGTTTTAATACAGTGGAGGCCAAATGACAAGATGCTGAATACAAAATAAAAGGAGGGGAGGGAGTTTGATAGGCTAGAATGTTGAGACCGATCTGATATGGTATAATTTAATAGGCATTAATGTCAAATTCTACACTTGGGTTAATTAAAAAATCATCTTCATGAATGCAGGATGGGGCAAGCATGGCAAGATAATAGTTGGTATGAAAAAAAAAGATACCAGGCTTTCAGAGTATTGTACGTTCAACATATGTCCATAGGGTGACATAGCATCGAAAAACACTAAATGTGAACTTAGGCTCCGGACAAATTTTCCAACAAATGCTCAAACGCTTATTTAGAAGGTATATCATCCCCCCTGCCTCGGGCTAATAACCACTCTCATAGAAAACAAACATTAGTGATTATTAACACTAAGAAGGGATGTGCCCTTTAACTTTTACAGTATGGCACTGACATTGACCATTGTAACTGACCAGTATTTTGTTCATTTCATGTATGTTGCAGCCACTGTGTATATCACTCTGCTATCATTACCCTGGATCACATCCTATAAGTCACTCTACAGGTCTCTGACCTCTTTATATTTCATTGTGTTCCTAAATCTTCTCTAAATAATTCTCCATAGCAGCTGCTTAAGGACACTCCTATTCACAGAGGCAAAGGACTTATTCACAAAAAGTCTCTAAACTGTATATATGTGCAATTAAAGACAACTTTAAATTTAAAAATGGAAATTTTAGGACAAATAAAGGGAAATACTACTTTATACACTGAGTAGTAAATTTAGCTTTTTTTTCCCTGAGAAATGATACATACAGGATGAAAGTACAAGGAGGTTCAAGAAAGTTTTACATTAATTCACAGATGAATGAATGAATGAATTATAAACATTTATTTAGTCCTTACAGTATAGCAAATATTGAGCTCTAAGTGCTGGGGATAAGAACACAAAATTGAGATAGTCCCTGCCTCAAGGAGCTTACTTTCCTTTTTTTAAAAAATAATTTATTTTGAATTACCAACAATCACTTCCACAGGTTTTTGAGTTTTAAATTTTTCTCCCCTTCTCTCCCCACCTCCCTCCCCAAGACAGTGTGCAATCTGACATAGGCTATACATATACATTCCTATTAAACATATTTTCATATTAGTGATGTTGTAAGTAAGAATTAGAACCAATTACAGGAGCCACCAGAAAGAGGAAACAAAACACAGCAGAAGAAAAAAAAATAGCAAATAGTATGCTTCGATCTACATTCAAACTCTATAGTTCTTTCTTCATTTGTAGATAGCATTTTCCATCATGAGGCCATTGGAGATGTCTTAGATCCTTATATTGCTGAGAAGGGTTAAGTGTATCGATATTTGTCATCACACAATGTGGCTGTTACTGTGTACAACGTTCTCCTGGTTCTGCTCACTTCACTTAGCATCAGACCATACAAGTCTTTCCAGGTTTTTCTGAAGTCAGCCTGTTCATCATTTCTTATAGCACAATAGTAGTCCATTACATTCATATACCACAACTTGTTCAGTCATTCCCCAATTGATAAGCATCCTCTCAATTTCCAGTTCTTTGCCACCACAAAAAGAGCTGCTATAAATATTTTTGTGTATGTGGGTCCTTTTCCCATTTGTATGATCTCTCTGGGATATAGCCCTAGAAGTGCTATTGCTGGGTCAAAAGGTATGCACGTTTTTATAGCCCTTTAGGCATAGTTCCAAATTGCTCTCCAAAATGATTGGATCATTTCACAACTCCACCAACAATGCATTCATGTTCAAATTTTCCCACATCTTCTCCAACATTTATCATTTTCCTGTTTGTCATGTTGGCCAATCTGATAGGTGTAATGTGGTACCTCAGAGTTGTTTTGATTTGCATTTTCTCTAATCAATAGTGATTTAGAGCATTTTTTTCATATGACTACAGATGGCTTTAATTTCTTCACCTAAGAACTGCCTGTTCATATCTGTTGACCATCTATCAATTGGGGAATGACTTGTATTTTTTTTTTTTATAAATTTGACCTAATTCTCTATATATTTTAGAAATGAGGACCTTATCAGAGAGACTGATTATAAAAATTCTTTCCCAATTTTCTACTTTCCTTCTAATCTTGTTTGCATTGGCTTTGTTTGTGCAAAACCTTTTCAATT